TATATTATAATTATATATAAAATCTACTTAATTTTATAAGATTAAAAAATATCATTATTTTTATATAAATATTACACTACAAACTACACTACATTACAATTACACTACAAATTACACCAAAAATTACATGTAGTGTAGTTTTTTCGTCACAGCTCTGGATATCTGGAAGGAAATAGAGGATACCCGGGCTTAAGAAGCTATATACTAAGCAGAGAACAAGACAGAGAATGCTATTGTAGTGCAACTATTAAAGGCTGGGAATTTATAGAGCCATGGCACTCCCGTGCTACTACCTATGTAATCTTCAGCTAAGACCTCTCTCTAGGATTGGCATTAGGAAGCCGTCAACTGGTGTGAAACATTATACTGGCCCACAAACAGGCCATAACCACACGGCCGAGGCGGCTTGAACGGTACCGTTAAATCTCTCCCTGTCAGACGCCGGTATTTCAAGAGTAACCGCACTAAGCTCCTGAATATAAGCCCTATTAAAGGTAAGAATACGAACTTTGCCCGTAACGTTATTGGTCAGAGCCAGGTATTGTAGGAACGGTGTATTGGGAGATGCTCTAGCCACTTATAGCGCGGGCTTAATTGCGTTGGCCGAGCTTCCACTTGTCGGAGTCTCCTAAAGGTTAATAGCTTCTATATACACTAACTTGCCTTCGCTATCTAATTTAAACGCTGACATGTAACCGTTGATATCAGCTCTATTACCTTAGGTAGATGTAAATAAGTATTTAGGGGGCTTGCCCGGAGGTCTGGTTAAGAATTAAATTTTATCTACTATATAGTTTATTATATTCTTGCCCTAAGGCAGAATACTAGTACCCTAGAGATATTATAAGTTATTTATAGTTCTATTATAGTGCTTATTCACATAAAATATATTTACTATATTAGAGTGCGCTTAAATAACGTATAAGATTTTTCCGTTCGGATAAGGCCAGGTACGGCAGGGGCCGTCGTTCTCCCTCGTTACCTTATGCTTCTGTTAGCCTGTAAGAACGGCAGACAAGCTATTGGCTTCCAAAACGGATAATGTCTAAACGGCGTTCGATCCGATATCTGCAACGTACAGCGTATCCCCTTTGGGGCTCAAATTAATACTATGCGTTCCGTTACGAAAACCGGTGACCCCCCCCCAGCCGCGGAGTTATTCGTACTGCTGCTAATGGTAAAATTAAGCTGTTGTGCTAGATCGCCTAGGGCGCCGTCGCTTTCGACACGGAATACCTCGCCTGATGCGCCGCCGACGCTATATAGATGCGAGTTGGAGGAAGTAACGTAGCCGGGCGATCTGACTACTAGCTTAGAGTTTACTAACTTAAGTATATAGAATAGAGCACTACGTTGGTTTTTATAGGCTACCACGCTCGCGGGCTTCTAAGCCGCTACGTAAAGCGTTTTTTGGTTCGGCGTAAATAAAAGCTAAGAGTAAGAAGCAGTAGTATTACTAATATACGTGATATTAAGATAGGTAAAATACGGGTTAAAGGAGAGCTTATATATATACGGGAAATTAAATATGCCCATAAACAGCTCCATGTTCGGTTGCATTTTGTGACTTTACGACTTTAGTTTTGTACCGAGTATATTTTGTGTAGGCCATGGCTTTTAAATAAATAAGTATTAGCAGGTGACTGTGGAATTGCACCGTTGTGGTGATTTTTGACTATGGTTGGTACGAGGGCTTGGATCGAGGTAGCACCAGAAACAGAAAAAGGCAGTCCGAAATGCATAATCACGTAAATAGGATAGTCTCATAAACACTAAATAAAGTTTACTCAAATTCTACGTGGTGTCACGCGTCCTTATAATTGAGCGCAGTACCATGGTCTATACGAGGCTAAAATTCTTCATGCCGCGATTACCAATAGCCGGCATAATTACAATCTATTACAAGCACGGCATGCGCTATAGCGCAATTGCGGGAACCCAAATCCATGCAGTCCGGCCGATTAGTATACAGTCCCCCCCTTGAATGTTTCTTCATGAGTGACCGACAAGGTAGCCACAAGCAGGGGTTAGTGTAATATTTGTGATTTATATATTTTAGGCGATGAGATGTTAAGGAGGTTTATAAGGTTTATAATAGAGACCTTAGCTTATTAAGAAATATCGTGAAAATCTCAGGTATTTTTAAAACCTACTTCCCTCTTAACTTTTTTTAATTGGTTATTATCCCCCCTGCCAGGTCGTGCATGAAGAAACATTCAAGGAGGGACTGTAGATTCATTAGCTCATACCGCGAACTTGCTCTCAGCCGGTTCGGCATGTCCCGTAAACTTCCTGTATGTGGGCTTTCGACCAGAGAAGAGCGGGGGACCAGTAAAGATACGCGGCTATAGCACGACATTTAACAGTCGTGGCTCTTGGGGGCAAACCACCAATTGGCACACGACTACCCTGACGCCAATCGATTACGCGTAATATCGCGTAGACATAAGGTGACGTAACGCATTCCGTAAACTCGGAACAATATTAAGAAATTTCCGAAATTCCGGGGACTTGTAACGAGCTGGGTTCCCAAAGGATAAACCACGTGAAGTTTATGTTTGCAGGAATATCAGGGCGTTTAGTCTAAGCAGTTGGGTGCTACATCTGGTAATAGGCCGTAGACCGTAACCAGTGTTCTCAAGATCAAAGTCGCTCATTTAAGACAATAGCAATTATTATATGCCAGGCAGTAGTATTACAATAAGTATTTAGTTTCGTACTGTACGATACCACTCTTTATTAATATGTAGGAAATCAAGAGTCTCTCATTTTGTCCAAGCTATCTAAACAATCGTGCTGTGCGACGATACCCTCAATTACACAGAGGCCGGGGTCTTCTCAAGCTCCTCCAGCTGCATAAACGTGTCGGCCATGTCCAAGAAAGTCGACGAAAATGGTAAAAATTCTATTCCAAGGACATTTCTTGCCTTTGAACAGTCAATCAGGTAGTGTTCACCAACACTCTCATGTCCCGGATTTCCAATTGGCACCCGACTCTTCAGCTTTGGAATATTCTCCCGAAGCAGATCACAGACCTGCTGCATGTCAAAGCTGCCCCCAGACACTAGAAATCGTTGTGGTTGGTCTGTCTCAAACGCCAACCTATGTGCCTTGGCTACGTCCCGGACATCGACAAAAGCAGGAAGCGTCGTGGGTGGAACTGCAGTCACGGATCCGTTCATAAGGGCGTATATTTCTGACGCGGATTGTCCAAGATGCCTTAGATTAGCAGACCCAGGAAATGGCGGACCATAGACCATGGGCGGATTGATGGTTGCGAGAGAAAAGTTGACGCCGGCGGTGGTTTTCGTAAACTCCCAAGCCGCTTGTTCAGCAAGCTTCTTGCTGCCGCTGTGAGTTCCCATTAGCGTACATTCGAAATTTTTAGAGCTGTTGACGATGGCTTACGCATATGCAAGACCTCTCTTGTCGTCCTTTGCCGCTTGGAAAGTTATCGGGTTCCATTGCGTTTCGTCATACACATGTCCCGGCCACAGCCCTTGAGAAAAGTCGACAATAGAGGCAAACGAAGACGTTAGGACAACACGCTTGACCTGTGGGGCAAAGGAAACAGTGCTCTCCAAGATCCGTCTCGTGCCATTAATAGCTGGTATAATTAAATCTTTCTCATTATCGGTAATGCTGTAGGTGAATGGAGAGGCCATATGGACAATTCCATCTACGCCCTTTACAGCCTGATCAAACGCACCGGGCAGGGTTATATCAGTTATAACATGCGTTTCTATAGATTCTCGGTGTTTGTCATGGATTGCGAGGAGGCGGCTGCAACTGTCCTTGTTTCGCGCCGTTGCTCGTACGCGATACCCATGAGACAGGAACTGTGCCACTGTGTGGTTCCCGATAAAGCCGGTTCCGCCGGTGATTAAAATTAAAGGCCCAGAATTAGACATGTCCGAGATAAAATAAGAAAAGTTTAACTCTTTATATGACTTTCAGAAGCATGTAGGACGGAGACCGACTACTTTGGCGTTGATTTCTGGTTTCCAGCAATTTATAACAACGGATAGCGGGTAGAGACATGTGCTTTTCTTATAAGCATTTTACATGGTAAGGGATAAGCGCGGCATATAACGGCACCAATAAAATTCGTCGGAAGTGAAAATATTATGAGCCGTGATTACGCCCTAGTGCGGGGTCAGCAAAGCAGAATTTAGCCGAACTTTATTTAATGCTTTGTGGCGCGCGCTTTGACTTCCGTGTAGATCCATATCGTCACGCCAAGGTTGGTGACTAATGCATGGGCGCCGCTCCGGTGGGAGCCGACCAGGCCGGCGATACCGTTCTTGTGGACCCACATTCTTCCTATTGGTCGGTGCAGCCAATGCGTTGACGTTTGAACTAATTTGCCTTTCCATGTATATGCTTTAATAAATAAAAATACTGTGTTACTACCCTAATATGGTTAAGCACTATGCGTACTTTAACTAAGCCGGTCTCAGAAGCTCCTTCCGGCGAAGCCAGGGTATTATCTGATACCTGTCTTCCGTGCAGAAGCTGAATATCCAACTCTTGGTGTGCTAGTTGCCGCAATTATTGCGTGTGATAGATCTTGGAGACCCAAAATTCCGGCAGAGAAGGAATCCGAAATGAAGACGACAACTCGTGGTACTGGCTGCCCGTTCTCGGTCTTAGCCAAGGAATAGCGAGACAAGACCCTTGGTCACTGCAATACCGGCCAGGAGAGCAACACTCAAAGCGTAATCACACTCCGAGCCCCATCTATCGGCGCACAACATAGAAGTATAATTGAAAAGTAGGTATATTAAATACGTTAGCAATTCTTAGAGGTTAGAGACGGAATAGAGAAGTGTTTCTGTCCAACAAAGTACCTGACTGGCTTGGTTACTTGGTACGGTTTTCCCCTTCTATTTGCTAGTTTAGGCAACTGCGCCCATTTTAAGGATGTTAAATATGCAACGTATAGCTACAAAAACACCTTCCCCTTTTATTATCCGACACGTGTAAGCACGAGAACGCTTGTCTAGTACCTATATTTACATCTAATCGTTGAATTCGCGCCAATCTTCGCTGACAGCAAAGTCCTAGTCCTAGTCCTAGGGACCAACTGCACCGAGAAAAACGATAACGATCTGGCCAGCAAGTTAAATCTAGCCCTTTCCTGTCCCCGAGCAATTCTAGTGCAAGTAAGTATGAGTCAGTTCTATGGACGTAGACACAGCATGGCCTCGATAACCTGTTCGTGACTCTTCTGCAGATATTTCCGTGTTATATTGCGAGACTCAGCTACGCAAAGTCGTCGGAGCTTCCCCCATAAATTTGTTGTAACCTAATAAGAATATCGTCCTCTGGTAGCAAGAGTCTTCCCCCGCTCCACCAAGTAAAAGTCTGATCTCTATTTGCTGCGTTACTTGCGTCCGTGCAACGGATATTGCAGTGGAAACATCGGTTGATTGCCTCTGAGACTGCCTTCAAGAACTTGTTCTCGGTGCGCAGATTCTCTAACTGCGCCTTGAGTTCCTGATTTTCGTGTAACTTCTGACTTACAAAGGTATTACACGGAAAAGGCCTAACAGATCGCGAAGCCCAATAAAGGGGGTCTTCACCGATACCGGACTTATTAGTTACACCAGTTCACAGCTTAAACACGTGCCCGGGCAAGAGAGCGGTACATATGCGCAGATAAACAGGGTTAGTAGCATAAACAGCACGACTCAGCACGTCAATGCCAGACTCCACATGACCCAGGCAAGATCCCGACTATAATTTCTTGCATTTATGGTTATGCCTGGCGAAGGCGATAAAAGAGTACCACCTTTGCTCTTTGAGCTACTGAAAATAACCCTATATGAAGTATCTGAGGGGCCAGGAAGACATACTCGGTTGACTTTAGCACTTTAGCACCCCCGGAATCGCGGCCAATCCCCGTAATATTGTACTGTACTCGAGACAGGGTGACGAAGTGTGGGACGGCGGCCTAGCCGAAGTCGTGGAAGCAAACCGACCTGGGAAAATGTCAAGGTACTCTACTATTCTTCAATATGTTCTTGACTTCTCCGGCTTTGTAGTGTGCAAGATATGGTTAATCAACTGCTGGCAGATCGCGACGCCGCGTGTAGGAGTCAACTAGGCTTCCGGATTCGTCAAGTGCCACAAGAGGCCATCTACGCGTTTTACACGTAGATATTCCCGGAGCATGCCGATGGCGGGCATGTTTGTTGCATGACGGAGGGCACATTAAGGCGACGTGTCTCGTTCAATAATGGGCATTTGTTCTCAATTTCATTAAGGTTCTAAATTCCAGGACCCTGCTTGTCACGCATTAACCAAGCGCCCACTGCCTGTTATAGTTGAAACTTGTATACCTCTTGGCTGTAAATGCCCTGAATTCCACCCGTTGACACTGCTCCTCGTTGCCATATGTTTTGAATAAGGGCATTCACAGTTACATAAATATAAGAAGGAGCAGGTGCTTTCTCCAAGGAGAACTAGTGACGTGACCTGTTATCCATATTTACACTAAGCAGCCTCTATTTATCCTCTCATCTAACCAATAAAGGACCATTGACCCAATAGTCCAGCCCTAGTCATGGTCCGTCCTTGGTCACCGGTTTTCGTTTGGCTTGCCGCCGCGTGTCTGTCAGCTTGGGCAGCAACGGAGCAGGTAGAGACTGCCAGCAATATCGTGGCCGATGCCTTCATCATCGAGTGTGAGGGCAACGAGATAAAATCTCTTTCCGATGCTGTCCAAGCAAAAGGTGGCGAGGTGCGCCATACGTTCGATTCGGAGTTCTTCCGCGGCATCTCGGTAGGGCTGGCCAACGTACGCAGCAATGAGGACAAAGAGGCTTTGATGGACCGTTTCAAGAGCTTTACTACGTGGCCCGTAACAGAGATTGGCCAGCCCGATGACAGCGAAGCTACGCAGCAGCCGGGACGGAACAAACGACGTCATCTGGGCAGTCGTGATTCCGAAAATGCCATGGGCGAGGACGAGTCCTGGCACCTCGCCATGACACAGATAGACAAGCTGCACAAGGAGGGGTTCACTGGGAATGGTATTCGAGTTGCCATAGTTGACAGTGGTGTATGTCTGTATTCCCCGGTCCAAGTTGGACACGCCGAACCAAACTGACCAGAATGCTCATGCGAGGTGGTGACAGGTCAACTATACACACGAAGCCTTCGGGGCCTGCACGGGAGTTGGCCCCGATTGCCGAGTTGTTACTGGAGAAAACTTTTCCCGGGAAGGACAGAAGGGAGACCCGATGGACTGCATCGGGCACGGCACTGCTATGGCCGGCGTCCTGGGAGGCTACGAAGCCGGGAAATACGTCGGTGTGGCGCCCAACGCAACTCTTATGGCGTATCGAGTCGCTGACTGCAAAGGTCAAGGGTCTCTGGATGAAATTATGAAGGGCTGGCAGAAGGCGGCCGAGGATAAAGCACAAATTATTGTCTCGGCTTTGGGGGCACCTATAAATTCGGCGCAAGACCCCTGGAGCATGATGGTGTCTCGAATTGCGGCCACGGGTATTATATGCGTCGGCCCAGTGGGCAATGACGGAGGGAATGGGGCCTTTAATTCCGCGAGTCCCTCGGCAGCAGGGTGGCGATCAACTCAA